CTGAGCCCCCGAGATGCAGCCCTGTCTCCTGCCCGTGTCAGGGCCCCTGGGGGTCCAGTTTTGGCTGTGGGGGCTGCTGTAGGCTGGCCAAAGGTAAGAAGTAGCTCCCCTTCTGCGCCCCTTCTGTCCCCAGAGTCTCTCGGGCCTGGAGCCACGGTCTCCTCCCCACCGGCGCAGCCCAGGATCCACAGGCCCCCGGGATGGCAAGGCCTCGGGAGTGTCTGTGGGCGCTGCCTTCTGCCCTCTGTCCCACGCCCCCGGTCCCCGGATTGTCATCTCCAGAGAATATCAGGTCCAGCACCTGACTCAAGGCCAGTCTTTCCCAGAGGGGCGTTCTTTTGGCAACTTCCCAGCTCTGCCACTTGACTTTGGGGAAAAGCAGAGGGTCAGTGTGGCCTGGTGTTACTGTAGGTAGCTCTGAGGGCTCGGAGGGGAGCCGGGGCTGGAGGTTACTGTGGTTTGTCCTGCTCCTGGGAAACCCTTTCCCCACCAGGGCCAGTCCAAGAGCTTGGCCTGTACTGCCCAGGCCCTGTACCCATGGGGCTCACAGTCCCGCCAAGGTCGGGCCCTTAGGGACAGACACCTGGACACAGGCAGGAAGCCTTGTGAAGGTGGCCCCAGCTGAGGGAAGCTGGGCAGAGGCCACTCAAGGTGAGACCCTTCCAGCTTCTCTAGTCAGTCAGCGCCGTGGGAGCAGCAGAAGGTGGTGTGGGTGAGGGGAGCAGCTCTGAAGCTCCTGCAGGGATGAGGAGCTGCCCTCCTGGTCCCCAGATGCTTCCAGATGCAGCGACTCCCTCCCAAGGTGCCGCTCTTGGGGCTGAGCATATCTCCCTTTCTTTTTGTTTTATGTGAAGGTGTTTTTAGGAAGAGTGAGCACATCCAACAATGGCTTGTCCCTAATGTATTGTTGAGGATCTACAGTGTTTTTGACTGGCTTAGCTGTCTATAATAGACATAATTTCTCTTAATTGGGGCTGTAAAAGGATTAAAAATCTAATTAATTTTTTTTTAAACATTGTTGGCTAAAAAATTTAAAACTTTTGTTGAACTCAAATAACTATTGTCTTTAGTTATACTTTTCTACTGGGTGTTTAAGACCAAGTTACAGTGAGACCTATATTAAATAAAATCAACCTCTTGCTCTCTAACAAGGTCAATTAAGTCTCCACAGGCACTGTCTTGGAACCATGCATAGAAGCCTCTTAGCTCCTCTGTCAGTGTCAGCCATCAGGCTATGTCACGGCCTTGCTTGACCATGTTACCTTCTGCGAAAGCATGAGAGATTTTTTCCCTCCAGGTGACATTCCTTTGGCACACTTTTTGTTGGATCTTTACTGTTTTGGTGTTCAGCAACCTCCCTGCTCAGGAGGTGGGGTGACTCACCAAAGATGCAGGATCTTGGAAAAGATTCCCTCATGACCTGGATCTTTTTGCTATTATTGTTGACCTTGGAGGGCCAGGGCCAAAATATTGGCTGCTTTCTTAGCCCAGATACCTCTTCAGTTTTGGTCTCTAAACTTTGGTTGTTGAATACCCAGAAGAGAGGATCAATAACATTAGCATTGTAAGAGGAGTAGTGAACTCAACTATTATAATTTTACCTGGATACTAAGTGTTTTGGAATAAAAATAGAGTTAAACTGCTATTATTGCCAATTATGGTTGCTCTTGTGGTTGGATCTCTAAGTAGCTATCTTTTTATATGATGTCACCTAAGGAAAATAAATGAGCCTACAAGTGTGCTTATTACCATAGATGGCTGGAGCATAAGAGAAAGGCGAATACCTGAATCAAAAGGTTATTACCATAAACAATATGTTGAAAGACCCATACAATTAGAGGGCATGAATACATTTTGAACACCAGAAAAGGAGCAGTAATAAATATCACAGTTACATAAAACCTTATGTTCTTCAATGTAGTTTGGTACCAAAACCATCTTTCTAATAACACTCTCTTGTTTATGCCACAGAAATTAAGCTTTTAAAGATGACCAATGCAGACATATCACAATAACATATTCAGAACTTAACCAGTGTAAACATTTTATAACAACATATTTAGCACTTAAACGTCAATGATAACCAATGTAATCAATTTATAACAACATATTGAGACAATATTTGTTGTGGTGTGTCTCCCATAAGATTATGAAAATTACTAGGGGGTACCTTTAGTGAATTAAGACCAGAATAATTATTTTCTGGGTGGCCACTTCTTCATTCACCAAAGGGAGTACCCACAGTCTCTATTTACTTTGACAAACAAATAATAAGAATATATATATCTTCTTATTTTACAACTGCTTATTGCAATTTGATTATTGAATGTAGGCGACAATACACATTACTTTTATAAAATAAATCTCGGTGGCACTTTGATCAATTAGCAACCTGGGAAGGAGGGCATGCCTTTAATTTAATAACATTTATCTGTAAGCCAATTTAATAATAGGTGAATATCTTTTAAGAGAAAAAAAATTTTGAGCTCAACTGTACAAACGGACAGACAACAGACAAACATATAAGACAATTTATAAAATTAGAGTGCACTCAAATATATTTGGCCAAATCAAATTATAATATCCCTTTTATGATTGTTATTGTATATAATTGTATATGACTGTAATTGTATATAAGACTGGCCAAAAACTTTTGTAGTCAATTAACAGAGATCTCTTGAGATTAGAATCAGAAGGAATGCAAGTGCTTTTATACCTACAAAATGTAAAAAGAACGTTTTCAAGTTGTGCCCCCCCTTTTTAAGTCTATATTTATTCTTCCTCTGGGGACATCATCTCAATCCTGGACCCTGCTGTGGATTTGTTGGTCGTCGCTGGTAAGGTGGGTTGCTCAGGTGCAGCTGGCTCGTGGCTCTTAGCCCGGGTGCTATTCCTGGTCTCTGAGATGGTGGCAGTTCCACCAGTGTGACCCACAGTCTCACATTCCGGGAGAGCAGCCACAAGGTTTTCTCATTATCTGTTAGGACACAAGCAAAATCTCTCCCCCAAGTTATTAAAGCAGGAGCAATTTTTTGACGAGGCCTTTTGTAATCTCAAAAGCAAGTGTAATAATCTAGGTTCTAAGGTAGAGCAGACCATAGCTCCTTCCAGTCTTTGAGTCAACCAAACTGCACAGGAGGAATCACTTAAAATATTAAGAGGTTGGGGAGGGAAGTTTTCAATTACAAATACAGTGGCTAGCAATTCTGACCTCTGAGCAGAGTGGGCTTAGGCCCAAGTGGGGAGCATTCAGGGGAGAGATGATCACCCCTTCGCCAGGCCTCACAGAGAACAGTACCTACACGTTCCCATGCTATTAAGTTAGTGGTCCCTTCCGGGGAAAAGATGGGACGTACATTTGTATGTCTTTTAACAAATCTATCACAGCATCCTTAGGTACTGGATACCTAGCCTGCTTTAACAGTGACTTAAATAATTTGGCAAAGTTACACTGCTCTGATGACAGAGATTGACCCATAGTTGTAACTCAGCAAAGATAAAAAATTACCCACCTTGGGCCAGGGATTTAGCTCAGTGGTTTCGCCGCCTGCTGCGCAAGAGCAAGGACCCAAGTTCGATCCCTGGTACCAAAAAAAAAAAAAATTACCCCCACCTGGACACTCTTACCACCAGTGTCCCTCGTCAGAGTCTGGAAATTGTTCTAGGAGATCTGTGTGCTGTCTCTCTTACTCCGAGTTTGTCTCACAGGCAAGTTCATCCCTGGATCCGATTCATATCCACGTTGGGCGCCAAATGTAGGGAACAGGGAAAGGGGACGTTAGTAGAACCTCTGCAGTGAGTCCTCGTCTCCTACGAGCCAGGGCAGCAGAAGGCGAATTACAGGAAAGGTAGGAAAATGAGACTGAGAAGAAGCTGAGCTTTGGGTCTCATCAGTGCTGCTCTGGGCGGCAAAGACTAAAGCCCCCAGTTTACCGCACCTTTTATTCAGTACATGGGGAGAAACAAATGTAACAAATGACTTGCAGGGAGTTCAGTACATCCAGGTAAACAAGATGGTAACAGTGCAAGAACAAGGAGGAACTGAGTAGATGTTTGTTCCTCCCAGGATATTTTCAGCTCCGAGGATGTTTCTTGTCCTGGAGAATCACAGCATCACTGGATCATTGAGGTCTCAGTTGAGACCGGAGGCCAAAATAGAATTATGGCTTGGAATTCCATAGCTGGGCTGTAGGCGGGAGAACTAGGCTAACCAAATGATTTTACCCTAAAATTATGTAGCATTGCTCCCGACAGACAGGAGCCAGCGTGAGTCAGCAGGAGCTGTGTCTGTCCTCTGTGGATGCAGTCAGTGACCTCCCACCATTCTTGTTGTCTTCTGCACCTCAGAGCCACTCTCTAGGTGCAGTGCACACTGCAGGGGTGGGGACTGGACACGGGGTGAACAGGAGGAGGGGGTCCTGGGGAGCTGCTTTAGAAGCTGCCTCCTACAGTCAGGCACTAACCTGGGCCCAGTGGTGTGCTTGGTGGTTTGGATCCACAAGGTCGTTCCCTTCACACTGCCATTTCAAGGCAGGAAACCCCTGAAGGCCAGCCAGGGTCAGTGCGACATCCAGGCCCCACTGCAAAGATCCGGCTCAGGTCCAGAATGGCTTCCATGGCTCTGCTGGGGCCTTGTGAAAATCAAGGAATACATTGGGGGGACTGATGGAAAAGAAAAGCCCTCAGTTTCTTTCATTGCCTCTCGCTGAGGAAATACTCATGTTCCCCCTTTCAATGTCATAGGTGTCTGGAGTTATTCTGCCCAGGGCTCGGGAGATCATGGCGCTGGGATTCAAGATTCTGCAGAACCTATTCTTGTAAAGGGGATCCGAGGAGCCTCTGTCTGGCTCCAGGTGACCCGGTGGCCAGGAAAAGATCTAGGAGCCATGGTGGAGGACATCATCTGGGTCTTTTTCTCTGGGTCAGAGCACACATGGATGGTGACAGTCTAAAATGGGACCTTGTTCATGCTACATGACAAGTACAAAGGAAGGGTCCAAACGCCCAGTGTGACATCCCTGGAGATTAGGAACCTGAGCCCACAGCACAGTGGGCGGTACATGGCACAGGGTTGGTTAATGACAGGAGAAGACCTTCACCAAGTTTTCGACCTCAAGGTCTATGGTTAGTGACACCTCCTCACCCTAACCCCATGGCCTCCTCCTTATTTTGAGCCTAGGAGCCTCCTAGATGAAAATTTGCAGGATTCTATTTAGATCCCAGCCACCAGTATGTTATTTCTCTCCTAAAAATGGGGTGTGTTTAACACAAAAAGCAAAACCGAGATTTTTACGAGACTATCCCTTCAGTCCTTTGGGGGAGCAAATTGGAAATTTGGCAATATTTACAATAACATTAATTGTTCTTTATATGTCTAAATTTACTTAATTTCTATATCCATGTTCTGCTGATGCTGTAGTAAATTAACACGCATTATTGGCTCCAACACCACAAATGCATTACCTCGCTGTGCTGCAGCAGCACCAGACGTGATTCTCCCTGGGCTGAGATCCCAGTGTCAGCAGGGCTGTGCTCCCTTCTGCAGGCTCCAGAGGGAAACTGTCCACTCCCTCCCCTGTCCACTGCTTCATGGTGACCAGCAGTCCTCGGCTTGGTCCCCTTCCTCTACCTGCACCAGCCTGCCTGGGCTGAGTCCTCCTCACACTGTGTCCGTCAGAGCTGCTCGTTTCCATCCCTCTTCCACTTGTAAGGACCCTAGTGCTGAGGCTGGGCCCACCCACCTAGACAATCTGCAGGGATCTCTTATCTCAAGGTCAGCTCTCCACCGTGTCACCTACCATACTCCCAGGCTCTGAGGACCAGGATGTGGGTGGCAGGGGCCAGTTTCCCGCCACATGAGGAATACGTGTGTACCTGGTCCTCCCGTCCTCGCTCCTCCCATGCAGCACCAGCCCGAGGCCAGGCTTGCTCCCACTGGACTCCACACTGCAGCTCTCCAGGCCCTGAGGGCTGTGGGAGAGGCTTACGCTGACTCCTGCGCTCCTTAGGAAAGCCACTTCTCCAGCTTCGTTTCCTGGGCCTCCTCTGTGTACAGGGCAGCACCTGTTAGCAAGAGAGGCCTCCACAGCCACAAGTCCCATGTGTCTCCCGGGGCTGCTGGTGAATCTGACTCTTGTCTTCCTGCCTGGACCACAGATTCAGGGCGCGATCTAACCATACTCAGAGCTGTGACCCCAGCCACGACCCCTGCTTCCCACAGATGTCTCTGCCTTTGAGAGATGGAGCTCTGCTGTGTCCTCGCAGAGACCAAGACAAGCGCTGCTGGGCCAGACCTTTTCCCCTTCCAGAAAAGACCCCAATTTGTGGAACATAATGGTTCCTGGAAGGGGGATCTAACCATCCTTTCCTCATGGACAAATTTTAAGATTTGCTTAATGTAGGGAAATCACATAAGGCTTAAGGCAGTGGCTACTGTCTCTTGCTCAACAGTTAGCTTGAGGCAAACGTGCTTTATTTGTCAAGTGCTCCTTCCCTTCCTCATTGGGCACTTGCATGGGCTGCAGTGAGACAATTGGAGAGAATGTGTGACATGTGAGGCTCTTCTTTGTCCTCCCTTTCTCAGAGCCAGTGTCCCCTCCACAGATCCTGGCCAAGTCGCTGTCCGTCACAGCAGAATGGTGCAATGTCGCCCTGGAGTGCAGACCCACAGGGGCCACAGAGGACCTGAATGTGACCTGGGAGAGCAAGGGCCTCCCCAGGGAGCTGGAGCAGAGAGGGACACCAGGACCGGCCCCCATCCCCTGGACCCGGGCTGTGAGCTTGCCCCTGAGCCAGGCCAATGGCAGCCTCAGCTGTGTGGTCAGCAACCCCGAGGACCAGAACAGAGCCACCTCAGACCTCGGTGACATCTGTCCACGAGGTGAGTGCCCCCTGCTGGAGGGGAGGGCTTCCTGAAGCTCAGGGAGCACTGCAGTCTGGGGTTCCAGGTTTTCTTCCCTGCTGGGTTCATTTGCACCCCCACCTGCACATGGTCCCCCTTGTAGGAGTCTGGAGTTGCATCCAACTCATGCCTGCCTGTAAATGTCCCTCACATCCCTGCCCTTCCCCACTGCTGCAGGCAGCAGTGCCTCTTCCTCCCCATCTGTCACGCACTGTGGGCACAGAGTGGGCTTTGGAAAAGCAGGTCACACTGTGGCGTACGCCGGGCTCATCTCTGGATCTGACCTCCAGTTCCTCCCTGTGGGACGCAGGGCTCACACTTGTCTGCCCACGGTGGGCACTCACGGGCACATGTCACAGAGCTGCTGCTGCAACCTCTGACTGCACTGCCCCTGAGAGCCTTTAAAGCTTCGCCTCTCCTCAGTTGTCCAGGCCACTCAGTATCGGTCAGGTTGTGCACTTGAATCCTCCCCAAACTGCAGTGCCTTTAGGGCAGGGACACAGTTTGATTCTCTCTTTGCTCCTTTGGCCAAGCACAGTAGGTGTTTACAGTTTACAGTAGATGTTTCATTGAATAAGTGGATGATCTGGGAGCTGTGTGCAGTCTTCTCCTCTGTGCCCTTCCTCCAGTATCGGTGCAGGCATCCCTCGAGGCAGTGCCAGCTATAATCCCTGTTACACCCTCCACCCACCTCCCGCCTAGGAGGCTCAGGCTCGGTTCCAGTCAGCATGACGCCTCTCCCTCTGGATTCAGCTCTTACCCCCCTGTGATCCTGGTCACCTGCAGCGCCTCCTGCCCATCCATCCCCTGCAGGACTTCTCACTCCCCCCTGATATCTGTGACCCTCCCACTCTTCCCTATAACCTTCTTCAGCAAGTTTACCCCATGACCTTCTTCAACCTGGGCTGCAGTGAGGTCCCTCAGTCTGGCTGCTGCTATTTTCTGCCTTCTCTCGTAGCCCCCAAGTTTCTCAGGGGCACTGACCCTACCTTGTTCATTTCAGTGTCCCAGCACCATGCAGGAGCTGGGGAACTGGTTGAATGATGGCTCTGCATGCTCCCTCCTTTCAGTCTCTGAATCAGGCCTTCTGACTTCTCCGCCTTTCTTTTCTCTCACCCTGCCTGGTATCTTGAGTTCTCTCCTGCCTTAACCATTCTTCACTCTCTTGATGTGTGGCAAACAGGTGGATCTGGACAGTCCACCGCTGGCCTCACGGGAGGCTTACTAGGGGGCTTCGTGGCTGTAATTTTGCTCCTTGGAGCTGGACTGTATCTTTGGAAGCTTCATGAGAAGAGGAAGAAGATGGTGCTGGAACAATGCAGGTTAGATTTCCCTTCTGGGCTGTGAGATCTCCCCTCTCTCCCGTTGGCTCCTTTTGTTGCCAGGAAGTGGGTCCTGCAGAGCGGACGGCGGCTGTAACCATGATGGCCTCGGGTTCATGGTGGGGGGAGCATTACTCGTTTCCCTGGCACAAAATCAATCTCCATTCTGTCAGTGACTCCGGTGCAGGATTGCAGCAGGACCAACGGGTCTGCACTGATGACGTATTGTATGCGGGTATTATGACACAGAACCCTCATGAAGAAAGTGACAAGGTGAGAGGTGGGAGTGGTGGCCAGCCTGGCTACTCACAGGTCGCCCACTGCCCAGCCCCGGGCTTCCACCACTCAGGCCCCTGCTGTTTCTGTCCCCACTGTTCCTACCTTTCCGTTATATCAGCAGCAGGAACTAAGCACATTTCTAATTGACTAGTGTAGTGCTGGGTGCTTTGGGAGAATTCGTAAACAGTCATGTGAATGGACACTGATGGTAAGCAGGTCCCTCTGGGGCCACCGTACCCACTCCCAGCTTCCCCAGAGCCCTCTGTCTTGTGTTCCCAGCATATTGGTGAACAACATCCAGAAGCAAGGGGGCCACTCACTAGTGTCTACAGTAAGCTTGTTCTCCCAGGCCAGCCCACGAAGATGATTTAATTGGGGGAAACAGGAGAACCAAACACTCCTCGGACACCCTGCCCTCTGAGCCTGACACCTGTGGTCGCCTACTTCCTCTGGGATTGGTTCAGCTCCAGGTGCCCTTGGTCTTATTAGCCTGACCTGGTGGCCATTCCTCCCTGAGCACAGCTGCTCCTGTGACTTCTCCAACAGCTCCCCACTGTTCCTGCACACTCAGGATCCTCAGACCTGCGAGCCAGGGTTCTTCTGGTCACTGACATAGCTCCAAGCACTCCTCTCCAGAAGTGCTCCCAGGAGAACCTGCCTGACAAACTCTGCAGGGGAAACCCCTCCTCACTGCTTTGTCACAAGTCTGTCATTGAGAACGGGGGCCAGGCATGGGAACTACAAAGGGATGTTGACTGCACCCCAGAGGAGTTAGGATGGGGTCTGGATTGCATGTTGCTGGGACCCCAACGTGGGTGGGAGCCCCAGCTTCCTCCTTCCTCTTGCAGGCTTTTTTTTCATCAATTTTATTCGTACATTTTAGGTATACAATATGCTGACATTCATTATTAGGAATTTGCACCTTTACATGATGCATCTTGGTTCTTATTTTTTTCCCTCTTCCTCTGCCCTCCCTTCAACCCCTCCACCCCTCCCTATTTACAGAGACTTTGTTTCCATTTTTTCCTTTTCTCATATTTATTCCTTTCCCTTCTTCCCTTTCCCCTGCCTCTCCCACTTCCCCTTCCCCTTTGGACCTTTTCTTCCTATTTCACATTATCTGTTATACATTTTGATCCTTATTTACACTTTCAGTTTCTCACACTGGAGAAACTATTTGGTATTTACATGTGTGTCCTATTTCACTTAAGAGTATCGCCTCAATGTGCATACATTTAGCTATAAATGTCTCTAGTTTCTCATTCTTTATGGCTGCATAGTACTCCATTTTATTTTTTAAAACCCCAAATTTTCTTTATGTCGTCTCCAGTTAATGGGCAATTGGGCTGTTTCCAAGTTTTATTTATTACAAACTGTGCCACTATGAGCATAGATCCAAATATGTCACTATGGTATGATGCTTTTAATTCTTTTGGAAAGATACCCAGCAGGGGAATAGTTGGGTCAAATGACACTTCCAATCCTAGTACTTTGAGGTATCTCCATACTGATTTCCTCGGTGGTTGTACCAGTCTACACTCCCACTAACAGTGGAGAAGGGCTCCTTTTCCCCCACAGCAGAATCAGAATTTGTTACTGGTTTATTCCTTGATAGCAGCCATTCTTTCTGGGGTGAGGTGGAATCTCAGTGTTGTTTTCATCTGCATCTCTCTAATGACCAGTGATGTTGAACATTTTTTTCATATGTTTCTTTGCTATTTCTACTTCTTTGTCTGAGAAATGTTGATTCATCTCAGATGCCCAGATTTGGATTAGGTCTTTAAATTTGGGAGGTCTGATTTTTTTAAGTTCTTTATATATTCTAAATGGTAGAGCAGTTGGTAAATTTTTTTTCTGAAGAACAGCTGGTAAAATTGTTTTCCCGCATTGTGGGTTGTCTCTTCACGCTGTTGGTGGTTTCTCTTGCTGTACAGAAGCTTTTGGAAAAGATTAGATCCCACTCACTGATTTTTTGTGCTAGTTCACATGTGATTGAGTTTTTGTTCATGAAATCTTTTCCTATGCCAATGCCTTCAAGAGTTCTACCTAACCTCTCGTCCAGCTGGTTTAGTGTTTCTGTTTTCATATTTAGATCTGCAATCCATTTCAATTTTAATTTAGTGTATGGTGAGAGATATAGGTCTAGTTTAATCTTTGGCAAATTGAAACCCAGTTTATCCAGCACTATTTATTAAAGAGGCTATGTTTCCTCCAGTGAGGGTGTTTGGCTCCTTTGTCAAAGATGAGGTGGCTGAGCGTGTCTGGAGTTGTTTCTGCATCTCCTAATCTGTTCCATTGATCCTTGGGTCTGTTTCTTTGCCAGTACTATGCTGTTTTTTTTAATCACAGTAGCTTTGTGGTATAGTTTCAAGTTGGGGACTGTGATACCCTCTAACTTGTCTTTATTGCCTAGAATTGTTTCTGCTATTCTATGTTTCTTCTTGTTCCAAATGAATTTTTGGATTGTTTCCTCAAGGTCTTGCAGGCTTTTTATAGGCTGCATGTGTTTGGGGAGTTTCTATTGTCCTGGCCCCTTCTCTCCCTTCCCTGTCCCTCCATGTCTTGTTCCTGTTCTCATTTGTAGAAGATCTATCTCTCCCTTTCCTATTATCTATCTTTTATTTTGTTCTTTCTTTATATTTTGGGTTTCTCATATAAGAAACACCATGTGATATTTAACCTTGTGTTTCTGATTTATTTCACTTGGGAAGCACAGATCTGCATTGTGCAGATGGTGGGATATAATCCAGAGGTTTAATGCCTTAAGAGTTCTCCAGAGTGTGTGTGGTAAAGACATGATTTGGGTCCTCAGTGGATCACAATTTCACTTATTTTGACTCTGTCTCTCTTTCATCTGTGTCATCCAACCTGTCATTATGACCATTGGTTTTTCCTCCTTTTGGCTACTTTTCTTTCATTCTTTCATGGTTAATTTTATGTGTCAACCTGACTGGCCTATGGAATGCCAAAGTCACTGTTAACGCTTTACTTCTGGGTGGATCTGCTTTCAGAAGAACTTGGCGTTTTAATTACTAGACTCAGTAAAGTAGGTTGCTCTTGCCAGTATGGGCAAGCATCATCCAATCTCCTGAGTCTGAATTGACCAAAAAATAGAATGGGGGCTAACTGATCTTCTCTGTTTAAGTTTGGGTGGCTCTCTTATCCTCATTCAGACACTGGCACTTTTTGTTCCTAAGCCTTTGGACTCAGCCTGGACACACACCAGGACTCCCCTTATTCTCAGCCCTTTATATCTGCACTGGAACTACAGTGGCTTTCCCAACCCCTAGCAGGCACACAGCAGATCTTTGGCCATCTCAGCCTCTAGAAGGCCTTGAGCTAATTCCCATGATAAAAGGGCTTTCCAGATGTATACATATCCACTACTCATTCTGTCCCTCTAGACAGCCTGAATTATGCTTCCTATTTTCCACTCCAGCTATACCTTTTTTTTTTTTTTACATTTCTACCAGGATGTAACAAGATTTCTTCCTATCCATTTCACATCTTGTTATTATCCATTTTATTAACTATATCCATCCTAATACACATAAGTAGTATCAGATTGTGATTTTGACTTATATTTCTTTAATGGCTGATATGTTGGACATTTACTCATGTCCGTATTGGCCATGTGTATACCTTCTTGGGAGAAATCCCCCTGTCTTGAGTTCTCAGTCATGCATTGGCCCCACCAGTGCCCTGAAAGTGTTCTTTTCCAGGTCACCACAGAACTCCACATGATTAAGTCCCACGGGCAGCTCAAAGTCCTCATCTTCCTGGACACCTCAGAACACTGTCCTCACTACCCACCCTTCTTTTCCTCGCACTCAGTGGCTGCCCCTTGGCTTCTTTTCTTGATTTCTCTTCCTCCTCTAAATTGTGGAATATCCCAGGGTTCAGACCACCTAGACCACCTGTCTTCACTATCTACATGTTCTCATTCTAGGGTTCTGCCCATGCTCTAATCCTTGGACCCTGTGACTTTCCCTTACATAGCAAACTGGACTTTGCAGATGATTCAGTGTTAAATGCCTGGAAATGGAGAGATTATCAGGATTATCTGAGTGCACCCAAACTAACAACTTGGTGTTATGGCTAGTGTTTAGATGTTCCCCAAAGCCTCATGCTTTTTTCGAGGTAGTTGAATATGGGATGTGTGATGCTGGGGTAAAGGGCGTGTGATTGCTAAACTACTATATGTGAGTGACTGGTTTGGCACCGCCCTAATCCCAGTAGTTGGAATAAGATAAAAGGTGCAGAGAGACATTCATAAAGGCCCTCTTGTTGCCTTTGCTACCTTGTGCCTGCCATGCTCTTTCTCCTGTGGGATGTCTGTTTTCCATCCTTGTCTGGGAGCCAGCTGACTATGGACTGAAACCTCTGAACTGTGAGCCAAATAAATGTCTTCCCCTTTAACTTTGGGTGTCTGGTATTTTGTCTGAGCAATGAGAGAAAAGTAATTAACACACCTGGGTACTTCAAAAGTGGAAGATGAAAAGGCAGAAAAGTGAGCAAGAAAGATAGGATGTGAAAGGGACTTCATTCACCATTAACTGGCCATGAAGATGGAAGAAGGCAAGCATGGGTCAAGGAAATGTGGTGTTCTTACACAAAAGACCTTCAATTTACAGCCTGCAGGAAAATAACCTGAGTTTCTTTTTTTTTTGCAGGGGGTACCGGGGATCAAACTCGGGACCTTGCACTTGTGAGGCAGGTGGCGGAACCACTGACTTAAATCCCCAGCCCTGAACCTGAGTTTCTAATGGCAAACAACAGAATTACAGAAACCTGAATGAACAAAAAATGCATTGTCCCTTAGAGTCTATTGGAAGGAATGTAACCTTAATTTTATTCCAGAGATGCATTAGACTTGTAGTCTCTAGAACTACAAGATGGTAAGTTAGTGTTGTGTTAAGGCACTGAGTGTATTGTGGTCTGGCATGGCAGGAATAGACAGTAACGCTAATATCATATCATCTTGTGGTTCCAAGTACTTCGGGTACTATGGAGGTCCCAGGCTAGGCGTCTCCAATGGACTCCACATTGTACAAATCCATCTCCTTACATGGCATCTCTACTTGACTGATGGCATCTGCAGATTGGCATGTCTCAATTTAATATCTCTAGTCATGCTTCCCATACAGCTTTCCTGTCCAATAAATGTCACCTCTCTCCTCACATTTGTTTCAGTGACAAAACTGCGAATTCTACCATGTCCTCAGTCAGTCCATGAGGCACGTCGCTGACCAGTGTGACCGGCGTCCCTCAGCTGGACACTGGCAGTGGCCTCACAGTCTCCTTGCTTCTCTTTTTAACTCCTTAAAGTAGCATCCACAATGACCCCTTCACAGCGGGACTTGCGTCATGTCACTTCCTTCAGTGGACAATTCTGGAAAAACACAAATCATTAAGGCTGATTTACATGTGTGTATAAATGTCCAAAATGGACGCAGAAAATACTGTCAAATGTATGTATTTTCCCTTTAAGAGCTTAAAGACTAAATCCTATTGTCAGGGGATTCTTCAAAATCTTAAAGAAGAGAATATTTTTGT